CTCTGGCCAAGAAATCCTCCTGCTCCTGTCACCAGGCAGCTTACCCCAGCCAGGGACATTGCTCTGGGCTGCTCCTCGGAGGCAAACTGCCTGCGTCTTGAGCTTCTACCGGCTGGTTCTCCTCCTGCCTGAGGAAATGAACACACGACATCAACCTCTGGAGGCTTTACAGATCAAAGGCTGTTACCAGAAAGAGAGACTCCTGGAAAACAAACCCTCATGCCTGCATTAAACAGCAATTCTTAAAGCATGTCTTACTTTTGCTAGCTATTCCTGTTCAGAAGCAGCCTACACACTTCTCCATGCAAAGAAAAAACTTCACAAACTATTACAAATTAAAGAAACAAATCTGAAAATGTCCCAAATCAACTTCAATGCCAAGCAAACCCCACTAAAGTCTGCTTCAGCCCTTGGTTCCACCTCTCTAGAGCTCAAAAGCCTCTGGGGGAGACTTGCCTGTATTTATATACCGCAGAGCAACCCCTTGGTCATTTTGCTTCCCCTCCCTCTCACGTACAAGTGAATGTGGTGTTTCCACCTCCCCCTCTCAAAGAGGAAGGATGCAGCAAGGTCTTGTGTGCCTGGGTCCTTGGAGGGTAAACCTCATGCTGATAATTCCCTGTATCTGGACTTGCTTGTGTAACACAGTGTTAATATGAGGGTAGAGGGCATTACAATCAAATATAAATAACAGGAGTAGCTGTTTATAATGGTTTGAGAAGTGGAATCTGCTGCTGTACTTTTTTGGATACTGGGCTCCCTCATTATAGCATGTGTTTCTTACTTTATACAAGATCGAAAGCTAACCTCTGAGACTTTGTATTTGTTCAGGACACTTGAAGCATTCAAAGTCATGAAAAGGTCTGATGTACCACTAAAATTACAGGAGAAAAACATTCCCCTCTGCAATGTCTGGTGTGAGGGTACCTGGTTAAAGTAAGGCTGGGGCTGGCTGTGCTTTTCCAGCCAGCTGTGTTGTTACCTTTTACATCTCCAAAACATAGGGAAAATGCTCTGGAGTTTCTCCTTAGGGTTTCACTCCAGTTCTAGGAAATCTCTGTTTTCTAGTGTGAGACCAGGGCAGGGCTTAGGTCTTAGCCTGAAGCTCCTAATACCTTCAGTGCCTTCATGGGTCTTTGTGCACTGTCAGGACATGCTGCCTGGGGATGTATTTCCTCTCCCTCTCGCACAGGGTCAGGCAGACATCCCTGCTGAAGCAGGATGATAAACCCGTAGCTGCTTAAGCAGGAAGGGAGTTACAAAGAAGCCCAGCAACGCAGCAACTGAGGCTGAAACCACTGGGAAGGGGATCACTGATTCCAGGCACAGCTGGAATGGATCTCAAAAAATGCTTTGCTTGCACTCACGTGAATAACTGCTAAACTCCCCTTTCTTTAATTCTGTCATGAATTTTGTTCCCTCATTAAAGAGAAAAACTATAGAGGCAGCACCCCCACATTGTTACTTTTTTAGAGCAAAACTGGGCCCACAAGTGACAGAAGAAAGCCAAACCATTTCTGTAGGAGGAGAGAAGCATTCTAGCTGACACAGAAGGCAGAGTTGTGGCAACTGTTTCAATCACAGAGTCCTTGAGAATCCTTTCCTTGCCCCCACAAAGCTTTAAACGATTTGTTATCAGTGCTTCTTTCCTTGGCTTCCCTCAGTGAGAACCTTGACACTGTATGTTCTTATCAGAAGCTGCTGCAAATTAATTGTGAGCAGCGCATGCATTTTGCAAGGGAAAATAACTGACCAAAGCCTGCTGCTGCAACCAGTGTTCTCTGAAACAGGGCTTCCTTTTTACTGGTAGAAAGGGAATGAAATGCCTTAAAGAGGCATTATAAAAACAGGCAATACAACATAGCCTCTTAGGATAGAAAATAGTCTCTTACACCAAGCTTGCTTATTAGAATGGCCAAGTTTAGCAGGAGTAGTGCTTCATATGAGAATATGCGTGGAGACCTCAGAGCAGCCCTACAGTATCTGAAGGGGGCTACAAGGATGCTGGAGAGGGACTCCTTATCAGGGACTGTACTGACAGGACAAGGGATGATGGGTTCAAACTGGAACAGGGGAAGTTTGGGTTAGATATAAGGAAGAAGTTCTTTACTGTGAGGGTGGTGAGGTGCTGGCACAGGCTGCCCAGAGAAGTTGTGAATGCTCCATCCCTGTCAGTGTTCAAGGCCAGGCTGGACAGAGCCATGGGTGACACCATGAGGTGTCCCTGCCCATGGCAGGGGGTTGGAACTGGATGATCCTGAGGTCCTTTCCAACCCTAACTAGTCTATGATTCTATGAGTGCTACAGCAGGGATGGTAGGGTGATTTAGTGCTGGTGTGCTTTTGTCCTCTTAGGCACTACTGGGCCAGGTGCCTGGCTCAGTTTGAGGGAATTTCATACGTTGCTACATAGCAGCCTCCATTTGAACTGCTGCTGCTTGTGGATGTCAGGGATCAGACAGCAGCAGTTTTCTCAGTTCCAGAGCAGACCTGCTGGTGCTTCCTGTGGCCTCACCTAAAGACAGCATTTCCACCCTCTGTTTCTTGTTGACTTTGCCATGTGGGGATGCAGGGTGGTGTGACAGCTCTTCTGTGCCACAAACAAGACTGGCTCTGGTGTTCCCTGAAGGACATAGAGGCGGATGCTGTACACCCCAAAACAGTGTCAATGAGCAACAAGTCCGAAGTCCACCAGACTCCTGAACACCAGGAACCCTGATATACCTACAAGCTAAAGATGCCTACGTGCCTGCAGCTCTAGGAAAGAGGTTGTACTTTGAGATGTCAATTTGGTCAAGCAAAGCTTCTGCCCTTCATGGTGGGAGACACTGTTCCCTCCTGGAAACACTTTCTTCTCTCTTCTGGTTACACATTGCCAAGAGGCAACAAGACTTAAATGATTAACTTTTGGACAGCTGTGCTGAATCAAACTCTGAATAAACACAACTTCGTAGAGTGGGGAACAGTTTTAAGATATTTTAACCAAGGTATGAAGATAACCACCTTAAGAGACCTCAGTGTTTCTATATATTCAAACCTGGCCAAGAAATACTTCCCATTTCAGTAATACCAAAATTCTTCCACTAGAAGGGAGAAAGTGATTGTAAACTTTTCTTATATGATCTTCAAGATCTGAAAACCTTGTAGGATCCTTTGCTATATTAGAGAACACATGAATTGGGCAATCAACTAAAACCATTTAGTCTCATTTTCCCTTTATCATTAGGCAGAGCTGTGGTTCCTCAGCTGAAATTGATGAGTGAATTATGTATTTAAAGGCTGTAGATATTTGCACCATATGCAAAGCAAAATGCTTATATTTGGATCTACTTTTTAGATAAATAGAGTGATTCCCTGGCCCTGCTATGTCCTGCAGAGATGCTGGGAGGCAGCAGGGTTTGATTAGTCCTTAAACTACATGTTTAAGATCTCTTTGGGCAAAATTCTTTTGAAAGATTTGACCTTACTTGAATTTGTGTTAAGGACATTCACAATAACCGAATACAGAAAGCAGGATGGGGGGCATGAGACTGGTACATGTCGGTTTAATCCAGACCATAGAAAACTTTCAGAGTCTTGGAAAAGCTGTAGGATGGCTTTGTTCAATATACTCTCAGCCTGGTCAAACCCTGTGAGCTCTTCTTTTAAGTTCACTCACTAAATAGCTTTATTTTTCTCTTAGAAAATGCTTTTTGCAGCCTTTCCACAGAGGGAAAGGTACTGCCTCTGCAGCTCCATGGTAGTTGGCCATGGCAACACACCAGTACAGCAGGGTACAGATCTGATGGGTGGCTCTGATTTTATAATTCTTTGATGTCCCCTAGCAATTTAGATTGAAAGGAGGCTCTGGAGGTCTCTGACCCAACCTCTTCTCAAAGCAGCCTCAGATCAGATGAGATTGCTCAGGTCCCTGCCCAGTCAAGCTCTGATTATCACTAGAGATGGGTGTTTAATAAGCCCTCTGTTGCAGTGTCTGACCACCATCATGCTGATTTTTTTCCCACTAATTTCTAGCTGGAATTTTCCTCATTGCAACTTGTGCCCATTACCTTTCACCCTTTTACTGCACACATCCAAGAAGTTGGGCTGCATCTTTCCTGTTTCCTCTGACTCAGTAGTAAAAGACAGCGATGTGATACCCCCTCTCCTTGCCTTTAGCCTTCTCAGGACTGAGCACACCCAGCTGACTCAGTCTCTTGTACATCCTTGAAATCCATCAATGTGTGCAATGTAGCATGATTCCTGAGTCTTATCTGCTGGGCTGTCAGTCTGCCAGCAAGGATTGTTATTACTGGAGCAGAGGGAAGGCCTCAATGTGAAGGCCTCTGAAAGATCACTACAGACACTGTTATCTCTTTGAGAAATTCAGGTCTAAACAGAGTGAGCCAACAGGGCTCAATCTTCTACCTCGTTAAGGCAAATTGAAAGCAGGGCTTCTACAGAAGGTCACTTCTTGATAACGTGGCTCCTCCAGCACATGGCAGGGAAGTGGGCACTGGGGTGTCTGCCCCACTGTGAGCTGCCTCTTTGCCCCAGAAGTGGTACTCTGCCACAGGGCATGGCTTGCCCTCAGAACCTCACCTGAAGAGAGCTTTATTATTTGCCCCAGGATGCACATGCACAGCTCTGTAGCAGTTCCCCATGGTAGTGATCCCTGCAGCATCACACTCGCACAATCCTGGCCGGCAAAATCTTCCCTGCCTCTTCCTCCCAGGGGCATGCAGAATTAACCATGTGTACAGGCATCAAAATACATGCTGATCTGAAAGGGGAGAAGGGACTAGGAGGATATTCTATATCAAGGGACATAGTTTTCCATGTCTGGCTGTTGCAACAGAGCTTGGGAGTAAGGCCCAATACAGGTAATGCCACAAAACATCTGGTTTAAAGAAAATGTATTAAAGCAAGTAACAATTACTCAAGGTGTTGAAGAACTCGTTGATCTCAGTAAAAGCAAAGGAGAGCCTTTGCAACACGGAGCCTTTCCCTGTCTCCTCCTGCAGGCCATATCCGATAGTTTTTACACATCTGATGTCTGCACCTCCTTTTTCTCTCTTCAATCTGGTTGGGACCCCAGCGTGAAGCACCTTTGTTTGATGGGCATTGCAGGAGGCCCTTCACAGCTTTGGGAACTGAACTAGGTGTCGACCAATCTCTGAGATGCTGGCACAGCCTGAAATAGAGAAAGGAAACATCCTGGTGAAAGAGGAAGGTCTGTGGGTGGAACTTGGAAGGCCCCCACTCCAGTCTTGTATGAGCCATTTGGGGATGGATTAGTACTTCAATAGCTCCCTCAGCAGAGCCCTACTCCTCAATGGCATCTTCAGCCTTGAGGTTAGGCATTGGGCTTCCTGCACAACAACAGTATGAAACTTGAAATAAAAAGGCTCCTTATAACAAGCTGAGCAGGAAGCCGTCTGATCCATCCAGAAGTGAAAGGTAAACAGAGGAGACACAGGGATTGTTCTGTGTCAAGCGGCCAGAGGTAGAGATTTGCTATTTCAGTTGGTCAAATCTGGGTGGAATTTCACAGCACTGCCAAGAAGGTCCCAGCCTGCTACACTTGCAGAGTTTGGTGCCCTTTTGCATCTAAAGAAGTATGAAAGAATCTGCAAAAAACCCAAACTTGTAAGAATCTTTATAGTTGAAAAAGTAACCCCAAAAACCCAGCCTGTTAAGAAATGCTCAATGGGATTTCAGTTCCAGTCTCCCAGTCAACGTTTCTATCCACTTGAGTTCAGGGTTGCTAGAACATGAAAACCTTTAAAACATGATCTGAAGTGGAATAAAACATGATCTGAAGTGGAATAAGATCCTTTGCTGATGTCTGAATACTTCTGCACTGGATCTGCACATTGTACTTGTTCATGTATGAAACTGGAGTTTACACTGGGCTGTGTAAATTTGCTGTTCAGTGAGGGGGTCAAATGTCACAGCTACGGGTAGGAGCAGAAAGTGAGAAATGCAGAATGAGGAGAAACAGTAAAAGCTTGAAGAGACACAGGGGATTTTAAGGGACGCATGATGTAGAGATTAGAACCTGCACCAACAGACTGTGTTCTCTAATACACAGAGAAAAAATTGCATCCATTTTTCCTGAACTTTCCATGCAGAAAGAAATTTGGTTGCATTTTACCCTGGTAAACGTTAAATTAAATACTGAAAAACACATGCTGCAATTACCAGCAGAACAGAAATTCCACGTTTTGCTCAACTCCAGTAACAGTTTTGCATCTCTTTGGTTGGGGTAAGAAAGCTGCTTGAACTTTCTCCTTGCAAGCTTCATTGCTAGAGCACCTGAATTGCCAAATGGTTTCATAGGAAGCAAAGAATCATCTTAAATATAGCAACTAGAACCAGCACAGTTCATGTGGATTCCCTTTTTGTGACCCATCCATCAGATTTGAGATGGCTGGCATGCAGAAACCTCTGTATCAGCAATTACAAGCAACCTGCCAAATGCTTACCAGCTAAGGCCATTGACAAACGAAACTCATCCTGCAAAATCCGCAGCACATCTTGAAGCCCCTCTTCACCCTGCTCCAACAGAGAAAGCAATCAGGGTAAATGGAGCACTGGCACAGAGCAATACAGCAGGATGCTTGCTCTGTGAGAGCTGGGACAGTCCTTTCAATCCATGCCAATTCCAGTCTCTCATACAGATGAATGATTAAAATGGTATGATGGATGTGCTCAGTTCCTCCCAGATTAATTTAGATGCTTTTCCTCTCATGGCAGGGGGGTTGGAACTGGATGATCTTAAGGTTCTTTCCAACCCAAACCATTCTGTGATTCTAAGATTCTATGAGCAGGGAAAGAAAACAAAGCTGGTTTTCACTGCTGACATTTTCTAGCTTTTTTTTTGTTTGGTGTTTTTTTCTTAGGTTTTAGTTAACCCCCACCAATGGGCTTGTTTTAAAATGTCAAGACTTCTAATGCTGACAGTAATGAGAGTTTTAAATATGGAACAGCTTAAAAAACTTCAGTTTACTCAAACACCAGACTGAATCTTTAAAAAGAGTACACTGTGTGTTTTCCTCTGAGCAAGTGACACCAAGAAGCTCAAAATCCTATAAAACGTACCTATGGTTTTGATCTTACTACTGGAGAATTCTTTCTTTTGTCTTTTTTTTTCCTTATTTTTTTTTCCTTAATTTCTTGCAATAACGAATGCTTTGGGAGCAGCCAATGTCAGTGCTTGCTCATGCCCTTCCTCTCTTGCGCTCTAGGGTAATGCCACTGAGATAGGATGTGTTGCAATGTTTAGGATATTCTTCTCTATGGCTGAGCTCAAAAACCCATCATCTCCTTCCTGTATGCACTGTAGAAAAAAGCAGGCAACTCACAGCAACACCCTTTTCATGTCAGGCCCTTTTTCTCTGCTGGCAACAGAACAGTGCTGCCAACTTACCCACGTTTCTCAGAAGATATAGGTGATTTCTTTCTCAAAGCCTAGCTACTGGAACCCACAGCAATCACACCACTGGACAGGAGTCTCATTTAAAAGATAAGAACTATTTCTAGACCATAAAAATAAGTATTTCTTTTCTTTAGATGAAAGCTCCAATCTAGGAGCTAAAAATGAAAAATGTAGCAAAGCAAACAACTGGTATAATTACATTTTAATATTAATTATATTATGTTAACCATCTGCATCAGAGGCCTAATTTGTGACTCTGGATCATAGAAAGATGATGTCAGGAAGAGCAAAGCTTGAGCAGTGGCTCAGGCACCTACAGGACACGGTTGTGCTCGGTCTTGTTCAAAAGGTTACAGACATCAGTGGGATGGAGTTCTGGATGGATTTCTGAAGAATTCTCAACATGGCTGTGAAACTGCTGTATCGAAACCGTAGATTGTTATCAGACTGATCTATGTAGCAAATAAGCCTGCCTCTAATTTTCCGAAGCACTGATGGTCCTAAGGCCTACAGTATTTTAGCACCAAACTACAACCCCAAGAAAGTCCCACAAAACAGTATTATCAGCTTCAAAAATCACATGTGAAACTGTAAAATTCAGTGGTATTTTTAAAGGACAGAAAATGTGTGGGTTTGATTAAAAATTTGGCATGTTTCCACTTAAAATTCAGCAAAACAAAAGAGTAGGTCCTTCATTGCTGAAAACTATCTTTATAACAACAGGGTGTTGGAGAGTATGAGAAGCAGACATACAAAATCAAAGCTCCTTACCTTGTAAGCCAAACCCCATAAAGCTGGTCTTCCAATAAAGACGCATTTTGCTCCCAGTGCCAGTGCTTTTAATACATCACTTCCTTTTCGTATTCCACCATCTAAATAGACTTCGATTTTGCCTTGTACTGCATCCACAACCTCAACCAGAGCATCAATCTGCAAAGAAGCAGCCACTCTCATTTTGAGGCCAGCTTTTAATTCCAAGAGAAAGAGGAGATATTCCAAAGAGGAATGCTGGATAGCATACCTGCTGGAAATTAAATGTGCATCACAAATAGCTCAGCACCAAAAGCTGTAGAATAAAGTGCAGTTCCCTGTCCTCTTTGCCAGATAGTGAGTTTCATTTTCCAGTGCTTTGCTTATACTGATATTCTTTGCTAGCACTTCTGATAAGTGAAAAAAACAACTTTTTTTTCAGTTTCTTCCTGAAAGATTTAGAAAATAAATTTCTAGGGAAATAATGTTCTTTAATATCTTACTTTCATTTGAGACGATGATGAATGATGCAAATGTCTGTAAAAGAAACTGATGTCAAACTTCACCCTGCTGCTTACATTTCATTCTAATCCTGGTAACCACATGTCAAAAGCCTCAAACCCCTAAGTCATCTATGAAGGATTTCATTTGCTATGTGGTATGGTCAATGTAACACTTCCTCCAGGCTGTCTCCTGATTCTCTAAGGATCCTTTTTGGTAGAGCACAGTGCAATGCCAGGCCGGTAGTACAGGGCAGTACCACACAGAAATGGTAGCTCTGGTCCCAAAGGCAGTGTAACCAGTGACAGAACATTGCACTAGACATAAATAACTCTACTTCACAACAAACCCTTTTCTGCAGTGTTTGATACTCTTCTGCCTTCTTTTCATCTTTGTTAGTCAGAGCAGCTATAACTATGATTACTGGGTAGATTTTTCCAAACAGTCCTAATTTTTTTAGGATTTCAGATTGAAAACTTTCGGGCTGAAATTTTCCAGGAGCAGCTCAGCAGGAGAAGGGACAATAGCTTCTGCTGCCAAGGTTGGTACCAGAGAAGTAGCACAGCTGAGCTACATATGTACTGGTTTGTCCATATATGTAAAGAAACTTCGAAGATAGAAGAGCACTTCAATGTGTATGCCATTTCCATTATTATGTCCTTAGCATTTAGATTAATACATTCTTAATTCATTATTGTCAGTCTTGACATAGAATAAAAGAGAATTGACAGAGGAAAATAAAGAAGAGAAAGTCCGTAAGAAACTGCAATGTAAAATAAGAACAACTGAGAAGAGTGACAGAAGGCAAATTAAACCAGTGAAGCATGCGTATGTCCAAACAACCCATGATTTCTTTGTACAGATGACTTTCTTCAGATAAGTTATTCTTTTTCTGGCTCATGAAAGTCAACAAATTCCCATTTAAACTTGAGTCTGTAAATACGCAAGCAGACGTCTCCCTCAATCTAGCTGCATTGTTTGTGCGTGTTTTGGCAGATGTGAATAACGAGAATACATTCTGCTCTCATTTGTACATTTTTGGTTCCAAAGCTTCATTTTATTTTTGCTGCAGTGCACAAAGAGTATTTATTCACTGCACCGGCTACTGAAGACATCGGCAGAAAACTATTACTAACTTCGACCATTAGTTTATCTGCAGCTGTGTGGGTTCAGTGCTGCTCACAGGACCCTCTCAAGAAGCTGAGAAAACACTTCAGTGGTAGCACATGCCAAAGCATGCATCTTACCAGTTTAAAGCTAAAGCACATCTGCACACATCCATAGCCACACAATGAACACACAAGTCCACCACCAAAAGCATAAAAACAAAGACAAGCGTAGAGATATCCACATTAGCACAAATACGCGTACAGTAAACACTCATGGGACATCTGTTCTCTCACTTACAGTGGCAGGTCCTCCATCCAGTTGCCTTCCACCATGATTGGACACAATAATTCCCTGAACCCCATGTCTCACTGCCAGCTCTGCATCTTCTTTTGTCAAGATGCCTTTGATGATGATGGGCAGGCGGGTCAGGCTCCGCAACCAGTAGATATCATTCCAGGTTACTGAAGGATCCAAGCTGTTGGGTGGCAGTCCATACTCAGAACAGTCATCCCCCTACAGCCATAGGACAGAAGGAAACCTCATGAACTGTAGCAATACAGAGGCCCCTTAGAGTCTTTCCCTGCCATGAAACAGATTAATTAAACTTGCTAACAGATATGTTCACCAGCTCCAGAAAGCACATGTCTCCAGAAGAGAATAATTACAGTGGGGATGGAGATCAGTGTTTCTAAGGCAGCTGGACTGGGATTTTGGAGCCTGAAGCCAGGCTGGCAGGAGGTCAAGCCAGGACACTGGAGAACCAGAAAGGGAGAAGATACATCCTGGATACAGCAGACGCCAAAACAGCAGTTATCTGGTGGGGCTTTTTTGTCTCATGTGGTACACATAAGCACAGTGAATGAAAGGACAGGCTCATTTTACAAACCTCAAAGGCTCCTTCCAAGTTCTTCAGTTTCATGTGGGGAGGAAGGCGGAAACCATTGCGGATATCATCACGTCTTTTGCCCGTGTAGGGCAGATCTGCGGTGAGGACAAGGCCCTGGAAGCCCAAGGCCTCTGCCTGTTGGACCAGCTGCTGGGAAACTCCCCTGTTGCGGTGGATGTAGAGCTGGAACCATCGGATGCCACGGGGGGCAGCCGCAGCTATCTCTTCCAACGTACAGGTGGAGTACGTGCTGGCGATGTAACAGGTATTCATCGCTGCGGCCGCTTTGGAAAGCATTGGAGAACAATCAGAACCAAAATTATTTGAACAGTCTTGCCAGATAGCAGGTACAAAATTATGTCCTGCTTACAGAGACTAATTGGCAGTTATCCCCCAGGGTTAAAAATGGCCATTTTACTACGCGCTGTTGTAGGATCATGGTTGAGAAAGTGATAAGGGATGTAAGTTGCCAAGTGGTGCTTTCATTTTGCAACTGTTTATTTTAAAAGCATCAGCTTTATCTTTATGACTGTGTCCTTGTAGGAATGCATGTCAAAGGCACTCACTGGAGATGGAAACACATACAGGAAAAAAAAACAAGCCAACATTTCTAGGGGTCAGCCTCCAAATCTGCCACAGGAATTGGGAAGAGAGGTTATCCCTTTCTCCAATGCAGACACTGCTCTTAACCAATAACAAGGAATTTACAGGCTGAGTCCTATCCACCATATTTACATGCTATCTAGAGCCCCCAGGACTAACAACCTCTTATGGCTCTTCATGTAAGTCAGAAATGTGTCCACTGCTTCTGCCTTAAGTTTGCAGCAGCCTCAGCAAGGCGGATCTCACAACAGTGGTAGCTGGAGCATAAAAGCAATGTCTAAACAGCTTCCCATGCACTCTGTGTCACCAGGCCCAGTGGGCTACCCATGAAAAGGGGTGTCAGAAAGTGGAAAAGGAGTTTGCCCCTTCAAGCCTGGAGAGTCTGTTCAGACATACTTCAGGTCATCCTAACAGCTTCTTGAGGCTTTTTCCAGAAACCCATTTTTGGTACATGACAATGAAGCAGAAGAGTACCTCTGGCTGTGCTTTTCTCTCCATCAGGCCATGCTAGCTGATGGAAGCCAGTAGGGGCGATCCCTACAGGAAAGCTGATTTCAGTCCCCAGGAGCTTAGTCCTAATGTCCATCACGGATACATCCCGCAGCATACGTGGCCGGAAACGAATTCTGTAATGCAAAAAAAACCCCACCCTTCAGGATAATGGCTGTTCAGTGGCATTTCTGAAGTTTCATGGAAACCAGGTCTTCATTTACCTGTTGCAATGCAGGAACCTGAGCCAACAAAGAAAACATCATATAACCAAGGCTCTTTGTCTTTTCTCTTTGCTTTTAGACATCAATTCAGCCAGTAGTTCAGCCTTCAGCCACCCTCACTTTTCTTTAACCTCACACTCCTGCTTACCGACCACATCACATCATTTTTGCATTTCCCACCTCAGCTCACTGGGTCTTGTTCTCCCACTGTCCATCTCACAGATTCCTTTGACTTGCAGCCCAGCCCAGGTCACAGCCAAGACTCAGGCCTTCCACCCCACTGTTCATACGTCTGTCATCACTGTACAATGTGCTTGCTCTCACTCTCTGCAGCACATTCCCTAAGTTCCATCCTACTTACAGGTAGGCTTCCTGCTGTTTAGGGGATGCTCCTGATTACACCTAATTCTATTACACCTATTCATCCTCTTTCCTGTCCTGCCATGCTGTCCCATGCCATGCCACACCACGCCACACCACAACCACACCACACACACCATACCATACCATACCATACCATACCATACCATACCATACCATACCATACCATACCATACCATACCCTACTGTTTGTTTGTCTGAACCTCAGCATCTTTTACACCTTATACAACCTGTCATTTTCAGCCTAGTGTCAGAGTATATTCTGTATGTCATTCCGGTAAGTGCATTTTGCTTCAGGGCCACCCTGAAACCACAAGGTGTTAGGTGTTTTACTTGTGAAGCCCTAACACTTGCACAAAAAAACATAATTTTAAAGCTTCTAGTACAACATTTCCTCCTCACATTACCTTTTATATGCCAGGATGTTTTCATCTCGGGTGCTACAGTCATCTGCTCCAGCTGCAAAAAAATCCCAAGCAATCTTGGGTAGATGCTTTTTAGCATAAACTTCAAAGTCTGAAAGACACACCATAGCCATTGCCAAGAGAAGCTCTGGAAACCTTCAAGAAAAGAGTAACATGGAGCAGAAGTTAGATTCTTCATCTCTCCTTCTCTCTTCCAGGGGCTCTAATGTCACTTAATGCAAACCTCGGACCCATTTGCCTCATAGAAAAGTTGCTGAGAGGTCGTCTCAGTCTATCTAGCCATGCATCCTCTCCCCTAGTATGAGGAAAACTTGCAGAGGTAGCCATAAGACTAGGAAGAAGCTTGAATCTTTGTGACCCTCTTTATGCTCTCTGTGTTAGGTCCTCTGCTATTTTAAGACACAGCAATTCTGTAATTCTGTCAGAAATCCCATCTTAAAACTAGCTGGGCTATTTGTTCCACTAATTCTCCTCAAAGGTTGTCCCAGAATATCCTTTGCTGGATTACCCCTTAGGATGCCTCCCTGACTGAACAACTTGTTATAGAGCACAGTGACTAAATTCAAGCTCATGAAATCTGAAAGCAAGTAAATAGAGTGTCTGCATCTAGCCTGCTCCAGCATGAGCACATTGTAAAAGTATGCCCAGACTCTGAGTGCAAGTCATTGTCAAGGCCAGTGCTGTGGAAAAACAAAGCATTTTCTACAGATCTTCATTTCTCTATTGTAGCAAATACCTTCTGGGTGTTTGTATTACATATTGGAGCGCTGATACATACTGAAAAAGGAGCATACAGAATTTGGGCAGACTAGGAGAAAACACTGTCAAAAAGCAAATTCCACAACAGGAAACATGGTTCTAAAGTCCTCAACCTCTCAGGGAACAGAAGTGGCATTGGGTGACCCAAATGTCCAAATAAACCAACATAAGTGCCTGCACCCCGATGCTTTTGAACGAAGCAGGCCTAAAAACTATGCAAATGAATGTTTTGGCCAACCATGCCCGTGTGTGAGGCAACATGTACAAAGCACAGGCAAAATCAATTTGCTAAATCGCTTGTTGCAATGACTTCCACAGCTCGGATTAAAACGGGCATTGCGCAGAGTGTCTGAAAACATGATGGTTTAAACCAGTGTGGTTTGGTTGAACCCCTTAAAAATGTCCAGGAAGAAGTAAATATCCAAGATTTCAGGGTTAGCCTCCCACCTCTGATTAGCAGGGGTTGCAAGGGAACCAGAACCTGTTCCATGTGTCCAGAGTTGTGCACTTCTGGCACAGAACACATGTTACATACACAGATGTTATGTACACAGATCCAACCTGTCAAACTGCAGACATGGGTATGTCTCACTGACTGAGGTCTCTTTGTACATGCTTGAAAATCAGGGTTCTTGATTCTCAGCTAGGAAAGAACCCAAACTGAGGGGCCCTCTGGAAGATGAAGAAATGTGACTCTCTTCCGTAGCGTTTTGTCTCCTCCGACAGGCATTAGGTAGTAGGTGATAAAAATATCCCAAACCCTCTCTGTATGCCTTCAAGACATCAAGCACTGCTGACAGCACAAGTTTTTGTATATCATGCATCATGATATACCATAAACCACATATCATGACTTCTGCTGTTCCAACTGCTAGGAAGGTCAAAGCTGGCAATCAGAAAAAGATAAACCAAGTCCTCTCATGGCAAATAAATGGGAAATTTAAAGAACCCAGGCCCAGACCTCATCATCTCTCAATTCAGATTTAAGCTCAGACTTACTGTGGATTTCAGAGAGAGCTGCAGGTGGTAAGATCCTCTCCTTCAAATTCACCTGCAAACAGGATGTAGAAGAGCTCTTTTCGCTGAGTAGCTGCTGTTTTTAACGGAGTCAATAAGCAACCACCAGAGATTAAAGCTCAACCCTGCAGTCAACTTTGTACTGTTTGTATAACACTGGCTTTGTTTTGCTATCAGGTGATTAAAAATTCCTTCCAAAAACATGCATCGACTTGTCAGCAGCACTGGAGCTGTGCTCCTTAGCAGTGGCTGAAGCCTGTGTGTTCCTTTAGGGAAGCAGCAGGATTTCAGTGGGTTTGACTGCATTTCTACACTGTTGGTAACTTGCTGCTGAATGGGTTACAAATCCCACCAAAATGATGATCCACAGGCAGTGTGAGTTGCTACAGCCCACAGCTGCAGAGCCTTGAATCGTTACCACCATTTGTGGAGGAGGCGTTTTTCTTCCTATAGTATACGAGCAAATGAGGTACCCTCTTGTCTTCTGCCATTTTTAAAGGACCACGAGTGCTCTCATGATTCAGTTTCTCTCCCACTGAGCTTGCAGATTCCCTCCTTTGGCTCCCCAACCAGTCCTCTCCCATCAGGACCACCCATCCTCTCCCTTTCCTGTGCTTGGTGAGACTTCTCTTAGCTTACCTCCTTTTCTCCTGCTAAGCATTACAAACCGGGACTGAGGTGACAACAGATTTATGACATTGGCTTAAATTTGCAAGATATGAAAATCAAACACTGGACGGTTTTATTTGACTTTTGTTTTTCTTAGTTTTTAGGGTTCATGTTTTCAAATTTTCCATGAGAGCTTGAAACTTTGATTTTTACTAACAGACAATGAACGTATTTTTCTCATAAACGTATGATACCAGCTGCAGAGGGTGAGGCAGAAACTCCTGAAAACATTCCCAAACTCTTACCAGGATTATTGCTCTCCCCATCCAAGCTGGGCAAGTGAGTGAGCCAAAGGACTGGGAAAGAGCTGGAAGCTGAACAGAGCTTCAGCCTCAGGACCTTGTGTCCAAGAGGCTGATCTGATCCAGGACTGAAGAAATCCTAGGTCACTGACACATATTCTTCTGTTGGGTGTATTCATGAGGCTCTGCCCAAACTGTGCCAGGCACGACCATCCATACAATTGCTTTTGAAACTCTTCAGACTTCAGCCTTCAGGGCTCATGCTCTCCATCAGCACTGTGAAGCCTGATTCTGGCATCTAGCTATGGATACGGGTGTCACTCAGAAGACAAGGTGACACATAGCTGGAGTGCTCATGAACTCCTTGGTTCGCTTTGCTGCCCGTGCTGCAGACAGCCTTCGGGTCACCTCTGAAGGGAAGAGCGAAGTCTGGCATCCCTGCGAGGGGAAGGAAAATCCTGCTCTCATTCTCCGTCCACTAGATGTCAGCTTTGGGTCGTATATATCCATCTGTGATGTTAGTAACAACACAATAAAAAAATCAGTACTTGATGGCCTGACAGCCACTTTGGCCTTAAAACTGATATGATCACGTCCCAAGAGTGCCTGCTAATATGTTTGGAAATCTTCATTCCCTGTGTTTTATTCTTAACATTTTCTGGTGTAGAGCCTAGCAATAAATGCAGCTACATCTGGTCTGGCCTGATCTTCATCTCAGCCTACAAGTTATCTGCAGGGTCTCCTGTTGTATATCTCATTATGCTGCTCTCAGCACTCCTTTACTTGAGGGATTCAAATTGGAGCCTCCTCACCAAACCATAAAGTTTATGGTTTCATGGTTATCATAATTTTACATGAATTAAAAATAGACTGTGACTACTGTATTTTGGATCAGGAGAGGGGGAAAATCTCTACTTTTGTGCTGTGGCTTTTGAGAGACTGTACTTTGCATCTAGCTATATTCTCTCCCTTCAGCCACGGACTCAATTCAAAGTAGAAATGACTTCTCGGCATTATGTAAGGAGTATTTTCTTGGATACTGGTAATACGGATTTAGCTGTGAAGCACTAAAGTTCTAAGGAAATCAGAATTTGCCACAGAGACAATAACTTTTACTGGAGCTCCTGCTATATACTTGAAAAGAAAGTGGTCAACTTTTCATTAGAGTACAATAAGACTTAAAAGTACTTTCTACAAACTTCACTGGAAGCCTTGCTGCCTCCTTTTGAAGAGTGAAGAAAACAATATAGGATATACTCACACATCTGCTCCAGCCTTGCAGGTAGCATCAAGCACAGCCAACAGCTTGATTTTTGCACAGATCAGCATAGCTGGGCTTTTGCAGTTGCTTATTTTTCAATACAAGAATAGTCAAAGGCTCATGAGCCCAAACACAAAGATCCTGTGTAAATCTGTGCTCCAGTTCCTCTTAGAATCACAGTGCTCATTACTGTGGTGGGTTATATTTTGACTGCCTTCTCACAGATGGCAAACCAAACCACCATGAGTCAAACTGACATTTACCTCACTGGTGCACCGATGTCATGGGTTCAGCCTGGGACTTTACAATGCTTCAGTGAAGAATCTGGTAAACTCTAAGCAATGTAAATAACTCGGGTCATGTAACAGTTTGAGTACAGCAACCATTGTTTTTCCTTATCAGATGTCTGTCTTGGGCCCATGCCCCATGTTTGGAAGGAAAATGTTTTTTTCTTGCATGTCAGTCATGCAAGAAAGCTTTCCCAAAATTAAATACTTAAATAGCCATTCATCATAGGTGGAGATGGCAACAGATCTTGTATTTAACATTGCCTAACACTTTAGATTATAAGATCCAATTTTCAGTTGCTTTTAATTTTGTCATATTTTAATCATTCTAGGCTGAAATTTTCCATCCTCAATTTTGGGCTGAAGTTTTTTGGGAACGTTTCACTGAAAGCCAGTCAGCAACATCCAAGAATGAGGTTATTGAAAACTATGGTGGTTGGCCCATGCTGGAAATGTCTTACAGTGGTTTCCCTGCAGTTCAGTGCTTCATGCAGGGTTTTGAAACGAGCGGGGGCTGATCCCTGGGGGCATCAGCCTGTACTTGCTGGCCATATGAAAATCCAGCCAGATCTGACCTAGCTGTAAATCACTGCTCTCTGCTTGCACATGCTCAGCAGAGCTTGTCTGAAATCCAGATGTTATCTTTACTGAAGACTTAACTAGCACAGAGCATGGTTCTGCCCACAGTCAGAGCAACTCTGAAAGCCTCAGATAGGAGCACAGGGCAGAGAGCAGGCCACCCTGCACTCTCCCACACTCATCCCCGCCCCATGCCACTGGTGTTTGGTTTCATCCTTAAGGAAGAGGGGAGAATGAATTAAAAAATAATGGCTCTAAAGAGGAGCTGCTGGACAGGACCTAGGGACAGGCACGGTGGGATATGCAGAGGTGATAAGGTCAGAGACAGAGCAGATTGGAGTAAAACAGGCAGGGACATGGCAGGATGACAGGACTTCAGGGGGATAGAACAATCAAGAGAAGGAGAGAGGTTTGGGGAAAAGCAGAAGGGGACAGCCTGTGCCACAGTGGGCAGAAAGAGCCCTAGGACACTACCAGATATTTAACCACCTCTGTCTCCAAAACCCAGAAGAGAGCTTGGTTTATTCGCAGCATTACTCTGCGGAGCAGCAAATAGCTACAGAGCCCTTTGGGAAAATGGGTCTCATGTCTCTCCAGCGTTAGAGTCTCAAAAAGGACAAGTGTTTCCTGCTAGCAGATGACTCCTCAGAACCATGCAGTGGAGCTCTGTACTGTGTCTTTGCAAGTCCAATCATATAAAGTAAAGTCTCACATCTCTTGTGTACTGTCACACGTGTTAAAATGTCCATCTCCGAGCCTTTCCTTCTGGCTTACCTGACATGCCAATGTCACCTAACTACAAGCCTTCCAACAAAGTTGCTGAATCTCAGATTGACATCTGCATCGGCATTAGAAAAAGGGTCAGAAGCAGATGAAGTTTAACTACCATGCCTCACAGAGCACCAAGCAAAGATCTGCTAAACCGGTAACAACAGAACACAGTGAGACTGATGGATGCAAAAGCGATTGGGTGTGGAAAGAAACACTGAGGCTGCTAGACCACAGCCAGTTTATTGCTGGTAACAATGCATTGGCACAGCATCCCTGCTTCCAGTCTCTGAGCATTCAGAGCTGCTCTGGACATGATCACCTTACTGGTACTCACCTCTGTGCTCTGCACCCTTGGCTGTAAAACAGACATTACTTTGCTAATATGTCCAGAACTGGTTCAGCTGGAATCAAGCCAACAGTTTGGGAAGAAAGATCACATCAGGATTTGACGCATGAGACCCAGTTAGTGTTGTGGGAGGAGTCATGGGCTGCAGGTAGGAGGGAGGGAGGGTAGCAGGGGCACAGGCTGAGCACACAACTGTGCAAAAGAGAAGTTCCAGAGTCATACGGCATTGCTCATCCCAGATATGTAGCAATGATCACTGTCAAGCAAATAACTGCACAAGTACAAGGTGCAAAATAGGGGTAAGGGCATGAAGTGAGTAAAAGTTAGGGAAGAAGAAGCACAGATGCTGTGCTTCCCAGAACACAGATTGGTTCTTGCTAGCTGCCAAAGCTGCCTCCAAAGACACTGAGCTCACACAAGGTGGAGCAGCAGAGGAGCTCAGTCATGACTCAGCTTTGAGTTTTCCCCTTGATTTTCATGTGCAACTGTTCCTGTTAAAGTCATGGGGTCAGAGGCAGCTGGATATGACATTAATCATAACATACCCTTATGTAGGTTCAGCTACAGTTTATTTTGACCATAACCTTACCTGGCCTACTAGGCCAGCTAGGCTGGCACAACTGTCTAGGCTTTCTCTTCCCTTCTCTGCCTTGTTTTTAAAGACCATAGTACCCTGTCAGTAAAAGAAGCAGCTCACTCAAATCCATAGTGCAGAATAGAAACAGAAACAAGAGGTACCTGGGACCTGCACCCTCTAAGATGAAGAACATTATGGTCTCGTTGTCCCACTTCCACTTTATAAACTGGGCAAAGTCCTGGTAACTGCCACCTGCAGTAGCAGTGTTGCTGCTGTATGACCACCACTTGGGAATCAGTGAGGGCTAAGTCTTTATCTGCCATT